CCCTAAATCCTAAACCCCAAACGCCTAAATCCTAAACCCTAAACCCCTAAATCCTAAACCTATACCCAATATAGCCGGGACTTCGTATTGTGCATCAGAGGTTTGGCCTTGGCGTACATGGAGCCGTTCCTGTGGACCTCTGGGGCCGGGTTTAGGGTTCAGGGCATACCCTAAGGCTCCAAATAGCCCACTGTAGGTCATATGGGGGTTTCCGAAAATCAGGGTACCTTTTTGGGGGGGGTCCACATAATAAGGGTTATAGTATATTAGGGTCTATATTGGGATCCCCTTAATTATTAGGAAACTACCACATTCATAGACTTTGGGGCCCAATGTAGGTATCATTATTTATAGACATGGAACTCCAGGGATACACAGAACCTGCGCGCTGGAATTCCTTCACTCGGGTGTCCGATGAAACAATAACGGAATTTTGGCTACCCCCAACCTCAAATCAGGATTCTGTGAACCCTAAACTACCCTCAACCCTGTAGGACTCACTTAGGGTCCTCATTATAGGGCTAAGGGCTGTCAGAATCATCTTCCGCCACTGTGGGCTTGGATAGCTGGGGCTAGCAGATGGCTTATGAGGGTTTAAAGTCTACTTCTTAAGTGTCCCTCAACCCAAAGTAGTTGTTGTTCGCCTGCGTGGCTAAAGCGGCTTCTAGAAGTATCTGAAGCTATACGGGCCCGGGTTATATGGGCATGATGGCATGAGGGGTCCTTTTTGGCAACCTCACATGACTTACAGGGCCGTGGTAGCTTGCTGCAACAGCTCGGTTCTTGTATGGCTTCGTGTTCGCTCTTGCACATGAATTCTTCCGTGACTGCACGATGATGTGTTGCTACATACCATGAGTCATTTCTGGGTTATATATATATATATGTATATACATGTACATGGAAGTCTCCTTGAATACAAGCCAATATAGACCCAAATGTATCATCAGCGGGACATCCCAGGCGGCACACACATTTATGGAAAATACGATGTGGCAGCAAAACCCGCTTTCTGGGGTTCAGGGTTTTGGGTTTAGGGTTTAGGGAAGCAGCTCTTGCCTCAGCATGTGTTGCTTGCACGACAGGCAATGCAAACGATGAAGGATTTGCGGGAGCAAGACAAGCAAATCCTGTGATCAGGATTATGGTATCTGGATTCCAGGGTTTAATGTCGACCCCTGAATTATACACCTCGTTCTTTTACGGACCTTCATATGAGGATCCCTGTTATATCCCCATTGAGGGGAGGGGGTGTACTAATTAGGGGTCTACATTAGGGTTTAGGAGCCCCTTTTTTGGAGCCCCCAAACCCTAAACCCGAAACCCTAAACCCTAAGCCCTAAACCCTAAACCCTTTTTTGGAGCCCCCTGGATCCTTGACTGTAAGCTTCTTGCTGTTATAATGTGGCCTCTGACGAAGGGGCCGGCAAAGTAGGTTACCCCGGTGCTTGGGAAGTGAGGTTGCAGAAGACCCAAACCCAAAACCCAAAAGGGTTTAGGGTTTAGGGTTTAAACCCAAAACCTGAACCCCAAACCCTAAACCCAAACCCTTAACCTTTTATTCCAATGCACCGTCACGAATCTGCTAGTCTTCAAGGACTTGCATCCGTCCGTCGACCGGCTCGAGCTAGTCTTTTAAGTAGCCAGTGAAAACAAGCCAGAATATGGATTGTCTTTGAGTGCATGGAAGCTGCAGTGCAGAGGAATTGAACACAAACAGCATCAGCGCCTGGCAAGCAAACCGAGTCAGATCTCAGATGCACACGGTTTAGGGTTTAGGGTTTAGGGAGCTTCTTGGATAGGCGATGTAATCAGAGGCCTGCTTAGGAAGAAAGCGGGCAATACTTCATGTCCAGGAACCCTGTAGTTTTGGGCCATTCATTGGGCCCCACTGTAAGGTTTTTGCTCAAGAGGATACTAACGCTGCAATGGCGGTGGCAAATCCGGGCAAAGCACGGCTGAATGTAGGCTGGAATCTTTGATGGGGAAGGTTTAGAGTTTTGGGAGGGTTCGGGAAGTCCTGCAAATCAATAGGCAAAGCTGGTAAAACAATCAAGTAGCCTGCAGCCCTTAATATGCAGGACTCCCATGCATCCACGGGATCCACAGGGTATCTGAATTTTGGGAAGCGCCCGCTGAGGCTCATCAATAACAGTTGTCGAGCTGTCCTTTCAAATCGAGCGCGGAAAGATTGTTTCCAATATTCAACATGTACTACAGCCGCCGACAGTACTACTACTAGTCAGACTTCCTATAGTCCTGAATAGTCGCATGCCATATCTCCACCATACTGCATTTACTCTAGCGCTAGAACCTTCAGCTTTAACTACAGTATATTGCACAGAAACAGAACTCAGTGTGCATTTTGATGGTGCTCCCTGACTCTCCGAGTCTAGGGTCAGAGATTGCTTCGGACTTGAACATACTTGAAATTCCCGGCGTGTCAGGGGGAGGCATTATTATAGCGATCTACTCACCCCCGCACCCTAGACCCTGTAGGCCATAAACCCTAGCCCTTAAGCCTATAGTCCCCCTTAAGTAGATAGAATGTGGCTTTGGGTAGATGATAATAAGATCCCCATATACCCCATATTCTATCTACTTAAGGGGGACCATAACCCTAAACCCCTCTAGGCCATAAACCCCAACACAGTGGTTTCCTTTTGGTTCTCCTCGCACTCCTCCACTCGCCTTTGAGCACCGCTAAGATGATAGCCGCCTCAGCCTAGGATCCCTGTACTGAGCAACTTACACCGCGGTTTTGGGCTTAGGATTTAGGGCAATTGTGCGGGGACATGGTATCACTGTTCGATTCTAGAGGAAGATTAAATCCCCTACTGGGTCATAGTATGGAAGGACAGAATTTTTCGGATCAACCACAAAGACTGCTGTTCACATGGTGGCTTATAGAAAACCATCCAAAAGGGATCCATGTCGAGCTTTGGAGTTATTGCCTTATAGTCTTTTGTATATTTGGCAATAACATGCCTCAAAACTCTGTTCTTGTCCAAGCAAGTGCGAAATCAGTCCCTTTTCGCCTTGGACACTTTGACTTCGGTCCGCATTACCCAAACACTCTATTCAAAGCAATTTCGGTCCTACATTGCCTTATGCCCCAGATGACAAAGTAGTTTCCCCAAATAGGGGGACCCCAATACAGACCCCAAAATATTGCAGTCCTGATTAGTAGGGGAACACCCCTAAAATTCGGTCACCGAATCTGTGAACCCTAAAACTAAACCCTAAACCCTGACCATGAGTGAGAGGCCAGCGCTTCCTCCTTACGCCAGAGGGACGGCTATACAGAGCGGCGAAGGCCTTCCGGGCGAACGCAATAGGGGGAGGGGGACAGTTTGGGGGGAGAGTTGTTAGGGTAGGGGTTTAGGATTTTTGAGGTCTAGGGTTTCTTCCTACGTAGTACCGGTGATTGGGGCTATATGGCCCCTAGTGGGGAGTACTTGGGCCCTAATAGAGGGCAGGAGGAGGGTCTAGATTAAGTGTTTACCTATTGGATACATAGAGAGCATAGGGTATAAGAATAGCAAAGAGTATAGCGCATGTTGAAGAGTTAGATGGTTTTTGGAACAGCTCTCACATATCTTAGCTTTCAGCGCGTGCAGGTGGATTCTTTTCATGAAGCGGAGGGGCTTATGTCGAGAAGTAGCAAATCCGGGATCTGATGAAGACTCAGCGCAAATCGTGGATCTCAATTCCCAAGCCCCAAACCACAACCCTAAGTGTCCAAGCACCCAATCACCTGATCATCATGTGGGCTACGGACTAAGGTTAGGTTGGGGGGGGACCAACAGGGGGATATGTAGCAGGGTAGAGCGGGACCCCTTACGGGATAACCCTAAACCCCAAACCCAAGAGCCTAAGCCCTAAACCTTAAACCCTAAGCCTGAGACGCCGTCACTTCCATACCGCAAGCCTGAAACACGAACCTTGGATCTTGAGCTCCAACAGACACCCCGAAATGGATCCAAAACTTTCCGCTGCTTAAGGGAGAGTGGAGGAATGGATTCCTATAATCATCCCTACATATAATCCCCATTTATACCCCTATAATCATCCCTATATTCACTCCCCCACTCCCCCTGAGGCACCAGTAAGGAAATGAACCTAAAGCTTAGGTCATATACCTCGTCCAAAAAATATCGGACAAGAGACGCAGGTAAAATGTTGGTCCAAAACCCCTAAGGTTTAAAGGTAGCCTAATCGGCAGTTATTCCACGTACTTTAGGGTCCAGGTATAAATCAACAATTCAGGCCGTCATGCTTTTGAAAATATAAGCAACCTGGACAACAACTACTACCAGCGGCATGTGTCTCATAGAGCGCTTCGCAAATGTAGGTTTCACCCACTTGCAGGTTCCAGAAGTCAAGTAACCATGGTAACAAGTAACACAGTCATCCTCTGAGTACGCGGAAAGAAGCTCAGGCAGCTTCTCCCCTAAGCCCGGAAATTCTCAGAGTTTAGGGTTTAGGGTCTCTTTGCCAACTTTGCCCAGCTACCTACATGGTGTATAAGCGTGCCCCTGTATGTCTTTTGTGAGGCATGACATGGGCCTGTGCGATATAAGCACGTTGACCTTTTGGGGATGCTTTGTCAATCTGTATACACTGTTTGTTAACGTGTATACCGAAATCCCGAAACGACATCCAACAACCCTGAACCCTATACACCCTATGTCCCAAATCTCCAATGCCTCAACACCTAATCCCCCATTCCACATCCCTAAATTCTAACCTCTGAACTCTAACCCCTAAATCCAAAAACCTCCCCAATCCCTCATCCCTATGTATGGCCTAACCACCAATCCTTAATCCCGAGCCCACCCCAAAGCCTGTGCCCAGGATGGTGATATTGAAGGCGTCGCGGCTGCCTGTGCAGAGGGTGCCAAGCTCCTTGGGCCAGTGGAGTTGAAGCCCTCTACAAGTGGGTGGTTTTCCTGGGTTGCTGTTAAGGAACTTAAAAAAAGTTACTATATTGGGGAAACCCTATTATTTACTATATATACCCATTATGGTAACTTAATTTAAGTTCCTTCACAGCAACCCAGTTTCAGGTGGGTACTTTCCATCCCTAAACCCTAAACCCTAACTCCCACAAGACTATGCGGCGTAGGGTTCC